GGGGGGGGGAAGGATCAGACAGATTCACAGAAAATAGGTCCATTAATGACTGCTAGTATCTGAAAATGAAACATTCATATTTCAAAGCACCTTTATTTCCAGATGCTTGCAGATCTTTAGAAGAGTTTTGCTGTGTAAAATCAACGATCCGTTTAGTTCATTTTCTTACTGTAATTGAGCAGCCTCCCACTGCAACTGGTAATAAGAAATATACTGCCTCTGAACATGGAGGTTCCATTTTTATGCCACAGCCCAGAATGCAATCCACTGCCTTCCCTGATGAAGTGTAAGCCCCACTAAAATGAGTTCTGTGGAACTGAGTTTAAACCCCCACAGTGCCACAAAGCTTACTAGATGACCTCAAGTCAGTCGATCTCAACCTAGCCTAACTCACCAGGTCGTTGTGGGGATAAAGTGGAGGCAGGACCATCAATTCCACCCTGATCTTGGAGAAAAGACAGGACAAAAGTCTAATAAATAAATGAATCCTACAAGATTAGACCCAAAGCCTGCCCAATTCCAAGTGACCAATGAAATATTCCTTAGAAGCTCAAACGGAGGGCATTTCTATGTTGAGCACTTTAATTGTAATGATCTGGTTTTATGTACTCTGGCACAGAGTGCCTTTAAATGTAAGCCGCCCTGAGCCCGTTCGCGGGGAGGGCGGGATAGAAACCCAATAAATAAATAAAATAAAAAAATTAAGGTACAAGAGATCTCCTCTGCTGCCCCTTCCCCCATTAACTGGTACTCGGAGGGATACTGGAAATTCGATTTGAACATCAGGACTAACAATTCTCACAAGAGTTTATACTCCTTTAAATCTGAAAATCTCAGACAAGGGCAAAACAATGTTATTTAGAATGGTGCTGGTCACAATATTAGAAACTGCAACTCTGAGAGAACAAACTGGATTTATTTGCTGGCTGGGTAGGAGGAGACGAGTGGAGACCAGCTATCACTTTATGGATAGTGGGTTGCTGCCATGTGCTGGAACAATGCTGGACTGGTTAGCCCTTTGGTCTGGAGTAACAGAAGTATTTTGGGACTAGGTTGAGAGGCCCCAGAGTGGTATGACACCCCCTGGATGCAGTAGGAGTGGTCTGAGGGCCTGTCCACTCTGGGGCCTGTCATTCCAGTTTCAGAACACTCGTACTACCCCCAGGGGCTGTCATTCCACTCCGTGGTCTCTCTTTCCAGTCCCAGAGCGCTTCTGCCACTCCCTGGGGCTGTCATTCCACTCTGGGACCTCTCATCCCAGTCCCAGAAGACTTCTGTTACTCCTAGGGTCTGTCATTCCAAGCTGGGGTCTATCATTCCCCCAGAGTAGTCTGTTTGGGCCCAGAGACCCTAATGGAAAATCCATTCCACATTTTTATTGCAACTCTACTTGTACTGTAATGTATTTCAATGGAGCCCATGCAAGTCAATTGGCATGCCTGGCTCCCATTATTTCCAATGGGCCATCAAGTGTTTCCCATTGTTTCCAATGGGCATCCCATCTTCACCTCATTAAACAGCAATCAGTTGAGTGACTCTTTCAGACCTAAAGGTGTTTGGTTAATGCACTGTTTTCTTTTGGTGGCATCTAGTAATCCAGGAGTCAGCCTCTTAAATTTACTGAATCATAGGTAGGCTTGCCAAAATGCAGGATTGACAACTGATCTCCAGACTACTGTTGAAAATGGCAGCTTCAGAGGCTGTACTTCTATGGTATGCCATAGATCCCAGGTTAAATCCCTGCCTAAATTCTTCCATCTCTACAGTGATGATCAAGATATGCAAAGTGACACTAAATAACAAGTTAAGGTTATAAGGTCAACAGCTGTAAAGCAATAAATATGTCAAACTAGCAGAGAAATGTCTAAAGGTGTCTTTTCTAATTTATTTATTTAGAAGTATGGGCATGGCAGTACCACACAGACATATAATGGCAGCCCCCGAGAAAAACATTGGCCCCTCGAGCAAAAAGTTGTTAGCTACGGGGCTGCTGGGCGCAAGCTCTATTAAGTAGTAGACCCGTTTGGGGCTGCATCGTCAAAGCGTTCGGTGGGAAGCGCGCTGGGAACGCACAACGGAAGTTTGTGGCGCAATCCTCAGCAATCGCAAACACGCAAACTAGCATTCGCTGCAACATCCCAACTTCGTTACAGGCATCAAAAAGGGTTTACAGCCTCAACGCCCTCCAAAGCAACAGCCGCGTGGTGTCCCCAATCCGGGCTCTTCCTAGCCTGCGACACGGCCACGTGTGGTCGACTCATCCCGCGCATGTGCAAATCTTCCGAAGCACCCCCACCCCCATTCATCGTACGCCTTTCGTCGCCTGCTGCTTTTCCCTTCTAGTGCAAGAGGAAAGGGGGAGGCGAAGTGGGGGAAGGGCAATGACCTCAGCTGCTTCCCGCCGCCTCCTTCGTACTCTGGTCGGCATGGGAGACGCCGTTTCCTATTCTCCGCAGATACCCAGTAAGGAAGAGGCCCCGCCTGGTAGAAACCAGAGCCTTGTCCGTATCCCAAGTAAGTAAACCGAAGAAATAAACTTCTTCTGAAGTGCTTTCGCATTAAGAGGCGAAGAAAAGGCCGTTACACAGTTTACGCATGCGCATAAAACACTGGTTAAAGCGAAGCGACTGGGACGGCTTTGCTAAGCGCATGCGTCTTTGATCTCGCGACTTTTTTTCCGGACGAGTGTAGTGCCCGTAGTGTTAAATGGAGCATGCGCGCCTTTCAAAGAAAAGGCGTTTCACTGCGCATGATCAAAAATGTTGTAATATTTTGTATCTTTTAAATTATTGTTTGTGAGATGTAAGTAATTAGTAATTTATATTTTACTTAATTATTTTATTATTTATTAACTGAGATTTTTAAACCGCCCTCCCCTGCAAAACAGGGCTCATGGATTGTAATCAGTTTCATTCTCTCTCGATTCTCCCTTTGGTCAGCAAGGGTTGTTGACTACTTTGGTTATTATACTACCGTGTGTACGTATGCCTTTGGTTTGGTAGGTTTGCTTTTATCTCTAGTAATAGGTTGATGTACAGAAACCAGCAGGCAAAGACCATAGAGATCTGCTGATTTATGTACATTAATTGCTGTTGTCTAGGAGTCAGGACCAGTTGGCAGGTGAGAGGATATTTTATTAAACGTCATTCCCTGACAGCCACTTGCATTTTGTTTCAATTTATTATTCCAGGGCTGTGTTGATGAATGGATGCCTCCTGTTTTGTTGGATTTTTACCCAAATCATCTCTGTTCTGTTTGTTTTTGTGTTCTGTGTTGTTTTGATGGAGTAAATGGCCTATAAGTTATTAAATAAATATTTGTATGGTAGCTCATTTGCCCCAGTTTTGCATTCAGGGATTCATTCCACAGGTTGTAATTTGTTCAGATTATACATAAAGCACCTCTTGTTATTTACAGATGATACTGTAGCCCCTATCCAGTTTATGATGTCAGAGCTGAACTAGATATATAGGATGCAATGTATGTTCAGGAGGGTTTCAACATTATGACCTGCATTGGAGAGTCCTCTGGCTATTTACAATGATCATGAGAACCAAAAATAAGTTTCAGTTCTTCATCTACCTGTAAATCTGCATGACTATGGTCATGTTGTTACTGAATATGCTATGCTTCTTCAACATAAGATTACAGGTGTACCCAGATAGCAACTTGCTTGGGTTTAGTATTATACCCAAGTATACACGCTCCCTTCCATCTGGTGATCTCTGTGTGCAAGCAGCAGGTATCTGGCAATATGGACGATGTAAGCTTTCTTGTTCATACAGCCTTCTTTGTAATTTGAGTGGTGGATGGGTGGCATGCAGGTGGATGTTTGGGGACTGGATGCTTTGACTGTTTTTCTGACATGCTAAATAAAAACATAACAATGGGCTGTGCTGGATTAGACCAAGAGTTCATTTAGTCTACAACTTTGTCTCCAACAGTGATCAGCCTAATGCTTCTGTGATGTTCATAGACATGGCATAAAGACAGTAAAGGTAAAGGCTCCCTTTCTCAAAAGCCAGTCGAGTCCGACTCTAGGGTTGCGGTGCTCATCTCCGTTTCAAAGCCGAAGAGCCAGCGCTGTCCGAAGACGTTTCCGTGGTCATGTGGCCAGCATGACTAAACACCAAGGTGCACGGAACGCTGTTACCTTCCCACTGAACTATTTATCTACTTGCAATTTCTTGCTTTCGAACTGCTAGGTTGGCAGGAATAAAGACAGTACATTTACTTTATTGCTTGTCTTTAGAATTTGGTGCTTCTGAACCATAGAAGTTCTAGTATACTGCCTGATATCCACTGATAGGCCTATTTTCCATTACATTGTCTTATTATCCTTTTAAAGCTTTTTTGTGCTACTGGTTATCAAATCTGAGCTTTTTGTGCTCAAAGCTGCTGTACTGACTTAACACATCTAATACTTTAAGTCATTCTGTAGTAAGCTAAGCTTGTCTAAGTTGAAAACCAGTGTGTGTACCCACCTCTTAAAAAACAGTGTCTTTCTGTTGTCTCCTCTTTTAATGCTGTAGGGAGAAGCTGTGACTCTGATATTAATGGAATCTCGTCATGTGACTGCTGACAAGGAGGCAAAATGTCAAAAGTACACACATAACCTTTGATAGTTGAATGGTGCCCAGTATGTATGCTGTTACCTTGACTGAGCCACCTGTTATGTAAGCACAGCTCCTGGGTTAGCACTACAGTGCTGAAAAGCCTACATTTTCTTATCACCTTTAAGTAACCACAGAGAGTGACAATATTCATCTGTAACCTCCTGCACCTGAGAGCTCCCCTTCCAGTGCTGGGTGTTCTTTGAAAGCTGATTAACATTCTTCTCACACTGCTGTGTGTGTGGGCCTGAAGCTTTATAGCGCAAAGCTGCACCCCCCACCCCAGAAGGCTTGTGATGGGCTTATAAACCAAAGTCGCTCTTTCTATCCACAAGAGTTTTCCTTGGCAACAAAAGGCAGGTTGCTGAGGAACAGTATCACTTCAGAGGTGGTGACTTTCCTCAGTTGGCAACCTTTTGATTGTAAAGATGACAGGAAAGTGAGAGATGCTGCAGATTGTATATTCATGACCTAACCAAAAAAATGAAGAAGAAAAAAGATTTTAAAAACATTATAGGAATGATGTATTTATGTTGCTGTGCAAAAGTGAAGAAAAGCTGCAGAGGGTGAAATTCCTTATTCTGTATGCTGATTAGAGATGTGCGGAGACCTTATCTTCCTTTGCATTTGGTCCCTCAGACACCAGGTATCTATAACTAGACATTTTTCCAGCAGTCCCAGGATTTTTTTTTATTGTCTCAGTATTTTTACAGTGATTCTGTGAGTAAGGTGAGGCTGTGGGATCTTGATTTCTCAACATTTTCAAATTGAACTTCTTCATTAGGAGTCCTGTCCAGACATTAGTTGAAATTAGGAAGGGAATTGAAAACAAATCAGTGAGTATCATGATGCTCCTGTATAAATCCATGGTGCAACCTCATTTGGAATACTGTGTGTAATTCTGGTCACCACACCTCAGAAATGATCTTATAGCATTGGAAAAAGTGCAGAAAATGGCAACTAGAATGATAAAAGGGTTGGAACACTTTCTCTGTGAAGAAAGGTTAAAGCGCTTGGGGCTCAACACCTGAAACGACAACTGAGGGGTGATATGATAGAGGTTTACAAGATTATGCATGGGATAGAGCAGGTAGAGAAAGAAGTACTTTTCTCCATTTCTCACAATACAAGAACTAGTGGGCACTCAATGAAATTGCTGAGCAGTCGGGTTAGAATAGATAAAAGGAAGTACTTCTTCACCCAAAGAGTGATTAACACATGGAATTCACTACCACAGGAGATGGCGGCAGCTACAAGTATGGATGGCTTCAAGAGGGAATTGGATAAACATATGGAGCAGAGGTCCATCAGTGGCTATTAGCCACAAGGTATAGATAGGAACTTTCAGTCTGGGGCAAGTGATGCTCTGTGTTCTTGGTGCTTGGGGGGGTCAATAGTGGGAGGGCTTCTTGTGTCCTGGCCCCACTGGTGGACTCCTGATGGTACTTTGTATTTTTGGCCACTGTGTGACAGAGTGTTGGACTGGATGGGCCTTTGGCCTAATCCAACATAGGCTTCCCTTATATTCTTATGGACTGTCCCACCTGCCATGACTCTAATCAGCCGGCCACAGGGTTGCCAATCTCCAGGTGGCACCTGGAGATCTCCCGAAAGCCAAGATCAGTTCACCTGGAGAAAATGACTGCTCTGGAAGCTGGACTCTATGCTATTACACCTTGTGGAGGTCCCCTAACCCCACCTTCCCCAGGCTCCCCCCGCAAAACTCCAGGTATTTCCCAACCCAGAGCTGGCAACCATAGCAGATCACATGTTATTTAATTGTGATCAAATATTCCATGAAGCCAATTATGTCTCTTTGTAGTTGGTGGCTTATCTTTTTATATTCCACAACGGTGTCATTAGGTATCAACTGCAAGTCAGATTGCTGTTTGCTGGGTAGTAGTTCTAGGGCAAACTTAGCCACATAGCAAAGTTTTTCTACTGTCCACCTGCTGTAATCACAGATAACTCTAAATGGAAGGAATAGGCTTGCAGCCTTCATAGCACAACTGTCTAAAAACTTGTCACAGACATTCCTTTTGGGGAGTCAGACCTAGTCAGACCAGGATCTAGGAAGCCATCAAACTATCCAGTTATTTTGGTTGCCAGCCTTTAATCTACCAGAAAAGGGGGAGAGTCCATTTAATAGGATTATTCTCCTACAGAAAAAAAGATCCAAAGCATTGTATCCTTTTGTGTATTTTAATTATAACTTAATTATAAAAGCATATATATCTACAGAAATAAGTTATCCTACAGTCTATAAAATAAGTGGCAGGTTTTAAGAAATAAGCATGGAAAAAGATACAGCAAACTTTTTGGCATCGTTTCAGGCTTTCTCTCTTTCTAGTTGATTCTACCTCCTCTTTTAATTTAAAAATTCATGAAACTTTCCACGAAGCTTCACAGAACAGCACACTAGGATGTTATGACTCCATAGGTGTCAACAATTTCAGCAGGCAAGATTAGCACCTTCAGGCAGGGACAATATGACCTCCAAAAAACAGTCTGTGTTTTCAGAAATGCTGAGTACGGCTGTTATGTACAATGGAAACTTTTAAGTTCTCAAAAATCAGACTACTCAGGGCATCATGGGGGGGGGGGTCACCATAAATCAGCTGTGAGTTGCCAGTACTACACACACACACACATTCAAACTCTGACTTTGTTGTACCTTTGTTGAGGACCAAGTTGCTGTTATGTCGGTTATATTTCTGTAATAGAAACCAAAATAACTGTAGAGAATATTTAGCCATTAATAAAATGGCTCAGTGTTCCAACACAAGGAAAATGTCTTTAAATAATCTGTTATCTGCCATTTCCCAAAGGTTGCGTTTACATATCTTTTTTTAAAAAGGACAGTGTTTCATGTAGCGTAGTCAATGAATGAATGTCTGAAAT